AGAGCTTAGAAGTTAAGCCTTTAATTAGACAACTATACTATTACCTGGCTCTATCCAATCTATAAAGAGGCTTAGTTGTAAATATTAGTTCGAATAATAGTTGTATAGCATGTCAAATAACAGATCGAATGACTAATTGAATGTCTGATTAAATGGCTGATCAAATGACATAATTTGACATTTTAAATGGTAGTCGAATTGAATATCGAATGTCATGTTGAATGTCATGTCGAATGTCATGTCGAATGGCATGTCGAATGATATGAATTGACATGTTGAATGACAGTTGAATGTTGCCATTCAACATGTCGAATTTTTTAAAATTTACTAGTACCAAATCAAACTTTGGCATTCTATTCTCGTCCAGGCTAGAAAAAGAGATGTAAAATTATTATTTAGTGTTAATAGTCTGGGTGTTCTCTGTAATCTTGACATAATGATCGGAAATTAATGAATATTATTCTGATTCGTATATAAATAAGTAAAAATGAAGTTTCTACTTATTTCCAACAGATCAGAGATATTATTACAAATATCTTTAGCTGAACTTTAAAATTTAGTTTTCTAGGTTTTTAAATATTTGAATAATGATATTTTAAATCTAACTATTTATTTTGTTTATTAACAAATTTAGAATCATACTCATATTTCTATTCTATTGGCTTCTAATACAACTAATACTGAAATGATAAAACCTCTTGTAATTGGAAGTTCTATTGAACTATGAGCATTAGTTGGTATAAATCATAAGATCTTACCTGTTATGTATTGTTCTAACCCAAAAGCATGGATAAGCAGTGACATATTTGAAGAGTGGTTAAAAAACATTGACAGTTAATTTCGATGTGAAAACCAAAAAATTTTGCTTATACTTGATAATATGTCAAGCCATTATAACCCAAATTCAAATAATTCTAATAAGGAATCTAATAATAGTAGTCTTGAAGAGTTATCTTCAATTAATTATAGTCGTGGGCATAGCCATGGCCATAGTCGTCCAAGGTTAAATAATACTATTCCAGTTAGTCAATAAAGTTATTGTTGTGGTTATTCAAGGTTGAATAATGCTATTCCAGTTAAACAATATTATTCCAGTTAGTCACCAGGGTCGTACTGTTAAGCAACGAAGTAAAGACAAATGTGGTTTAGGTCAAAAAAGTATATATATGCTTTCTAATTCATCTGATTACTACCTTGTGAATATTTGAATTGTATTTTTGCCTTCTTTTATTACATTACATTTTCAACCTATGAATGTGGGTATTATTAAATGTTTCAAAGTGAAATATCAAAGAAAACATATCTAGTATATATTAGATCAGTTTGAAAGAAGTTTAGATATTCAAGATCCAATGTAAGCAATTACTGTATTATGTAAAATTAATTTAATTTTTATAATTTAATAGTTTTACATTTTTTTCAATAAAAATAAAGTAAATATTAAAGAAGCTATTGAGTATGTAGCAGCAGCATAGAATGAAGTAGATAAATTGACCATAGTAAATTGCTAGAAAAAGACAGATATTTTGCCGACAGTGTTGAATAGTAAGGCTAAACTTGCTCAAAATACATTTTTAGAATTGATAAAAAATGAAGAAAATAATATTAATGAATTAGTAATTGATCTTACTAATCTGACAATTGCACAAAAAATAGATACTTATAGAGAAGTAAATAATACACAAATATCTACAGAAAACAAACTTGACAATCGTCAAATTGTTAAAATTGCGCTAGCAGAACAATTAGAATATGAGCAAGGTGATCCAGATAATTCTAACAAAGAGCCTTCAAATATTTTGGCCTTAGAAGGACTAAGTGGACTAAAAAACTTTATCTTGTTTGCTGAACAACAGATAAGTAATGATTTTGATAAAAAAGATTTGAAAGTGTTTCGAAAATACTTATCATTAATGAGACAAAAAACTGTTGAATTATTCAAGCAAAAACTTATTACAGATTTTTTTGGTGGGGTGAGAATTCAAAATAATAAATATTCTCCTAATAAAGATTATTTTCTTGGTGAAGAAAATTTTTTTGATGACAAAGGTCTTTATAATGATGATCTTTATGATGAAAATTCTAATAATGAGGGTCTTTATAACAAAGATTCTAATCTTTATAAAGAAGACCTTTATAATAAAGATGAAGATCTTTATGCCATTAATAACCTTTATGATGATAATAATCTTTATAGCAAAGATTTTATAAATGATAAAATGGATTAATGATAAGGTATTGTACAATTATTTGATTATAAACTTCTAATTTAATATTAAAAAAATTATACACTCATACATAGTTTTTCCCACTATTATCGTGAAATACTGTAATAACTTTTTCTTAGTTATAATCATGTTAATTTAGTTTTTGTGTATAGCTTTATATACAAATCACATATATAAAATGAAAGTTAAATAAATTAAATAAAATTGACTACTAAAAATGTAATTAATAATAATAAAAATGCTAGGCATTTATATAGCTACATTGTTTCCTTTATACTGTACTCCCAATAAAAATATGTCTTAAGACATTAATAAAATAAGAAATGCCAAATCAAAGTAATAAATTTAGCTTCAAACTATGTGGATAAAATAAAGTCTTCATAGCATAGTATTGTTTTAAATATTATAGTTGCTGAATACAATATTGTCACAAGATTTAAGTTTCTGCTATAAAGTTCAACTTAGAGATATGTTCAGTCATTGTAAAATGTCTTGTGAAGCAAACAGCAGTGCCATTTACTATCAGATATAAGTATCAAAAGAATGATTCTCTTTACCCTTTATATTACTTTCCATATATCATTTATGTTATTATTTAATAATATCTCACTTTTAACTATTTTTTACTTTCTTAATTACTAAATTATCCCATTACCATATCTAGTTATTGATCATGCTATTCAATGCACCCAATCTAGATACATTTTCTCTCATACATTGTTGGTTCTGTTAAATGAACATAATTCTGAATTAGTATGTTTATTATTAAAATATAAGGTTCTACTCACTCAGCAACGCTTTTTTTATAGACACAACACTTCACAGACAATTATTAACTCACTGCATGTTTATTTTGCAAACAATCAGTTCACAGACAAGTTTATATTATAAACAGTTTATTTTACTAACAAGCTTATTTCATAGACAACTTTCACCAACAGTATAAACTTGTTGTGAACTGATTGTAAAATAAACACCTTGGAGTCAGTAAATTGTTATATCTACAAAATAAGTGTTGGAGAAGTGATATGGAATCATAAAATATTACTATATTAATTATTAAATACACCTAATGCTTAGTATGCACGTATTTGTATAAAAGTTATCATGTTTTATATGATATGAAAATCATTGTTTGTAAAAACTTTATACAAACTTTCTAGAAAAAAAAATTAGGCAAGCACACATATGCCCAAGAAAATCTTGGTTGTTAACTTTAATCAAATATTTGTTTGATGCTAAGAAGACAGTTAAAATATAATATTGCATAATTCTAAAGCTTACAATTTGATACACAGGTCTTAAGAGCTTTGAATTCAAAAGGCTTGGAAAAAAAACAAATAATAATAATAATTGCAACTTTTACTAATTACTAATTTTTTAATATACGATATTTTTTTATTTTTATTACTGTATTTTATTTATTTAAATATTATTTTATAGAAGAAAAATATATATTATATTTTTCTTTATTTATAATATAAAATGTAATAGTGATTATAGATAAATTGTAACTATATATAGGGATTTTTATAAATAAAAAAATTGTATTAAAAATTAGTATGATTTTATAGAGTTTGTGATTATATAGGAGGTGACTATAGAGGAGGACGACTGTAATTTTTAATTATTTTAAAATAATTAAAATAAATATAAACAAAATGATTCTTACTATAAAAATTATATTAGTTTCAAGTAATATTTATTCTAGTAATTTAAATAACAACAAATCTCAAATTAATATAATTATTTAAAAATTTTTTTAAAAAAACAGACTAATAACTTAGATCTGTGTATAAAGTTATTAGTCAGTCTTTTAAAAAAACTTTTAAAGTTTTAATGCTTTAAAAAAAATACTAGCAGTATATAGATTTAATTTTATTGATCAACCACCATTATGAAAAAACATCTCTTGCACTGCAAGTTTGTTGATTATAGACTTTCAGCACTATATTATGTAATTGCTATTGTTATTGTTATTGTTATTGCTATTGCTATTGTTATTGTTGTTATTGTTATTGTTATTGCAGTCAGGGAAATTGCCAAATACGGAAATCGAATCTAGAATAATCTGCAAAAATTTGATTGGCTATCAATTAATACT